TGTCATATAGATGAAAAGCAATTCCAAAATTACATAGAGATGTATACTTGAGATTAATTGATTTTGACAAGTACAAATTATGCATGTTTGGCACAATGACCAAATCTTCTTTTACTTGAAAAGAAGAAAGGTCAGGATAATCACTGGTCTAATGCATAGTGATGCATATGGACTCGTGTCAATTAATGTCAGGTAATGTTTCTCTTATTTCATCAATGATCATGTATATTTGATGAAAACTCAAACATGAAACTCTTGAAAAGTTCAAGGGATTCAAATTAGAAGTAGAGGAACAAATAAGTAAAGATACCATCACATTAAGATTCGATCAAGTGAGAGTATCTTAAAGATAAAATCTAGATTATCTAAGAGAGAATGGGATTCTCTTGCAGTGGATTGCTCCACATACACTGCAGCATAGTGGTGTATCTAAAAGGAGGAATCATTAACTATTAGATATAATGTGATTAATAACAAGCCATGCAAATCTCCCAAAATTGTTTTGGGGTCATGCACTGATTGCAGTGTGCAACAAACTAAAACGCGTCACATCTAAGTTGGTAAACAGAACTCCATATGAGTTATGGAAAGACAATAGTCCCAATTTATCTTATATGAAAGCTTGGGGTAGTGACGCTTATTTGAAGTGCCTTGAATCGGATAAGTTTGACACTAAATCTGATAAATACGTATTTGTGGGGATATTCGAAGCAGACATTTGAATATAAATTCTATTATCATGAAGAAAGTCTTCGTCTCACGACGTATCGTCTTCTTAGAGAAAATTTTTATTCCATGGGAGGACAGTGGGAGCAAAATAAAACTTGAAAGAGTTCAAGAGTCCAACCAATTAGATAAATTCGAGTTTGATCCCATATCCGATATGGGACATACTCTTGATCAGGAAGTAAAGACTCCCGAGGACATATCAGCTCTATATGAATCTAGTAGGATCATTCGACTTTCAAGAAGGTGCGAATCCATAATTACTAATCAGGTATTACTGATCCAGGATAATGAACCTGTTAGTTGCACCAAAATAAAGTCAAGTGTTGACTTAAAAGAGACAGCAAGAGGTCATGAAACTCGAGATGAACTCGACGTATGTGAACAAGGTTTGGACCTTGGTCAAGCCTCCTAATGGAATAAAATCCATAAGTTTTTGTAAATAGTTTACAAGGAAAAGGTCGATATGGATGTGAATATCCATATATACAAAGTAAGGCTAGAAGCAAAAATTAAGTGTTGACCTTGGTGAAACCTTTCTCCTGTAGCCTTGCTCAAGTCCATTCAGGTTTTGCTTGCAACAATTGTATACCGTGACTATAGGTTAAGAGAAGTCTCTTGGAGCTGAAATCTTAGATTTGATGAAAAAGTCAAAGTGTTTGATTTTATCAAATTTGAAGATGAATTGTGTGTTTACAAGAAGATAGTGGGAGCATTCTTGTATTCCTAATATTATAGAAAACGACATCCCTATATTTCAATCGTTGAAATAATGATTGTTAAAGGATTTATTCATGAACGATATGAGATAAGCAACTTGATCTATAGAGGTAGATCTAGAAGATTGCTTAACTCATCCCAATTTACATAGATGAAATCTTGAGAAGATTTCATATGGAGAAATTGGTTTACTCTTAAGTGGTATGTTGGAAAAGTTCCAAACGTGAAGCAACCATTGATTCAATAGTAGAAACCTAATATATGATTACTTCAGAAGTAGCAAAGAGTTGCAATCTGGATCACGATGTTAATAAATGAACTTGGAGTAGTTCCTGATATTGTTGATCACATGCCATTGTATTGTGATAACAATAGAGCCATTGCAAAAGAAAAGGAACTAATGTCTGATCAATGATCCAAACATATATTAAGGCGGTATAATCTCATCAGAGAGATAATAAATAGGAATGACGTAAGAGAAGAATAAATTTCCACATTTAACAATATTGCAGATCTACTGACAAAGAGTTGTCGTAGCATAAATATGATCGTCATGTAGACTTATGATATTGGATACATAAGTGATTGGATCTAGTACAAGTGGGAGTTTGTAAGTATTCTGCCCTAGGTCCAATCAACTTTGAACATAAATACTTTTGATAAATAATGCAATTTAATGGTAGATCTATTATTTAATTAATAGACAATTAGATAAATAATAGAGTCTGTAGATTCAAATTTTCGTAATTTATTAATCACAAGGAGTTGTGATTGTAAAATACAACTTACATCTGTTTGAATTTTAAATCATCCGTGGTCGTAAGTAATAACGAGATACGGATATCGTTATTACGGATAGACCATCACGTGTGGCATTTCTTACTTATGAAGTAAGTAGCTGATCTCATAAGTTAAAGTGTGGTGACACTTAAATGAACACGTGGATGTTTTGTTATAGAACAAAACATTGGAGACCCGCCGAGAGATTCCACATGGATAACTATCTGAGTGTCAGTGGTTAATCTCTAACGTTCGATAGTGGGATTGGTCATTTTGACTTGAGGTCGTCATAGTACCTTATATGAGGATGGTCATGCTTTGACGGTGTTGGATGTTGCTCTGTCAAGGACTGCTAATACGACATCGTTCGGGTATGTCAATAATCATATGAAGGTTGTGAATAACCAATAGAGGATTCGTCACTTTTAGATAGTAAGAGATTATGATTTGCGTTTCATTCAATTAAGTCGATAACGAAATCTTTGGCCAAGGTGTACTCATAAGTCAAAAAGGAATTTTCGATTTATATTGACTTAATAGTGGAGTGAAAGGTATGATCGATAATCGAGATTGATACACTTCCATATCTCGTAATTGATCGGATAATATTGACGAAGGGATTATAGTTTCAGGGTAAACGAATGAGTTTGATTTTGTCATACCACGTGACATTTCCCGTCACATGTATTGTTCTGACACATTGCTAGATGTCAATCTGGGACGGCGAGTGTGAATTGATGATAAATTAAAAAGGTGTTTTAATTTATCAATTTTGATTAGATGAAAATAATATTTCACGTCGTTAGGCATCGTGATCGAGGACCTGATGGGTCGCACACAAAAAAGAATTGGAAGATTGCAATTTGTCAATTAATTAATTTAATAATCGTTGGATAAATTAATTAATTGATTTGATTATTTATATGCTCGAATTAATTAATTGGATTAATTAATTCACGGACCGGATTTAATTAAATTGATTAATTAAATATTGGACCGGACCAGGCCAGACCCGTTTGAGCTTATATAATTACAAGGCTAGGGTTTTCAATTCATATATTTTTCTCATAATTATTCTTGCTAATACAAGAGGAGAAAATCCTGGTAGCTGCAATCTTGTTCTCTGCGTGCATCATCGTTGGAGGCTGGACAATTGGACAGCTGTGGGTGGCGAATCAAGATTCCTGGAATAAAAAGAATAACAAAGAAGTTTGCAGATCTGGAAAATGTACAATCTTATCACAATTTTTATTTACACACAAAGGCGATTCTTGGTGGGAATCGAAAATTATTTTAATTTTCGCTGCGCATGTTAAGTAGATTCCCAACAATTTGTCCACTCAATGTACCAATAGCCAAATCCAGATACTGAAGGTTAGCAAGATTACCAATCTCTCTAGGAATTGAGCCTTCAAACTGATTGTATCCCAAAATCATCGTTGCTAAAGACGACAACAAGCCAAGTTCAGTCACAAGCTTTCCCGTACCAGAAAGGCTTAAAAACCTTTAACTCTTTAAATTTCCGAACGATGATGGAATTGAACCTTCAAAGAAACTCCCTCTGAAATCCAGGGTTTCGAGTGAGATGCGTTGATGCTTATCAACCCTGGATCATTCCGAAGCCCACTAGAAATTTGCCAACAAAATTGTTCAAACTTGTATCGATGCTCTTCAAAGAAGTCAGATTGGCTAAAGACTTAGGCAACGACGAGGTGAAATTATTACAGCAGATATTAAGAATGGACAGGCTCATTAAATCTTGAATGCTGTCCGAAACAATGCCACTGAGTTTCATGTTCGACAAATCTAGCTACTTAACTAGGCCCTTCAAGTTGCCAGAAATCCCGGTCCAGTTAAAGTGCTTGTCGGTCGAGTTTTTCCAGCCCTTGAGGCGATCCAAAGGATCAATCAAGCTAGATTTTATTGATAATGCTGATAACTCAGCATTTGGAAGAAATGAATCTCCGTTGGCAGAACCTAAGGAAAAATCAATGAAACAGTAGAAAAAAAAAAAAATCAGCTTTTTCTGCATATTGTTCTTTTTTCATTTTTCATTTTTTATTTTTTTTTCCTGCCCTTTTCTCTCGTTTTGCTCTATTTCAGACAATTGTACAAGGTTTTGACAAGGGAAGCTATATGATTGAAATGGGATTAATGATTGGACAATAAATCATGATCATAAAACATTAAAAGATGGGATATCCCAGTGCATGTTCATTGTTCAATGATTAATCAATTATTAATGGAGGATTAATTAATTAATTAATCTAAAAATGTGTTCGTGAGTTCTTGGAATATGAACCAGCACTTAGTATGAAACAAAATGACTGTAAACCTTTGGACTTATTGCATAATTTTCCGACATGAAAACATGCAAAGAATGTGTTTTTAAGTAATCAATTGACTGATTTATTACATTGAACTTTCTCATAGTTGATCAATTTGTCAACTCAAATGAGTAATAAAAATGATTAATTTCATCTTTCTTATTTAAAATATTGAGGAAATTTCATTGGGTATCAAAAATTGAGTTTGCTTTATCAAAATTGTCACCTTTTAAATTTGCTATCAAAAATATCAATTTATGACATTTTTGCCCCTCTGAAATATTAGAATACCAAACATGTGTTATGTGTATTGTGTCAGAATCTTAAATGATGGCAGACGAGAGCAAAATGCAAACCTAATTTCTCCAATTTTGACTTCTCCATTTCCCTCTTGTCTCTGCCTTTCACATTCCGACGCTCGCCGCTCTGTCTCAGCCGTCGGCTCTCTTATTGTTTGGCCAAATCGCCGTCATCGATCATCGAGGAGATCGGTCGTTGTTGCTGCGTCGAGTTATCAGCTTTGAAGATTTTGGAAATCTGCGTTTCAGTTATATCTTGCCGCTGACGGTCACCTATAGCCTCTCCGATCTCTGGCACTGGCCCACTACACCATGTTTGTGACAACAAACTCCGTGAGTCCGTGACTCGTGAGCCTCATGCCTCTCTCTCTCTCTCTCTCTCTCTATTTTCTGTAAAATTGGTTCAGTTCGTGAGCTCCTTCCTCGCATGTGAAGTTGTTTATTCTCTTTTAGTTTCGTGCTTCCTATGGTATTGTCATTATTAATTGTTAATACTATCACTTCCTTTCTGTATTATTATCTTGTTTAAGTGGATGCTTCTGTAGTTGTTAGGAGAGTGCTTCTTCTGGAGATAAGTGCGTTTCTGTACAAACTTTGTGCTAACATTAGTATAGTGTTTATTCGGTCCAGCCTGCTTGTAGCATTTTAGCATTCTCATTGTGATTTTACTTGGATATGGCTTTGCTGTTATTGAGAAAAAATGAAGATGAATTTGTTTCTATTAATGAGTCTTGGTTTGATAGAAATTGTTTTATTCAATGACATACATAGGTAATATACAATCAAAACACTAACAAAATTTTGAGAATAATCATTTTGTGCAATTTGAATGATCGAATAGAACTCCATGTAGACAGTTTCAGTCGTACTACCTTAACTTCACTGCTCTACTACATCTTGGATGAGATATATCGTTGAATTTGTACTGAGAATCTTAGGAAGTTGTATAATCTGCATACACATCAAATCAACGAGGTATACGAATTGGGAAGGAACATGTAGTACCAGAATCCGCAGCAAGCAGTTGTTGCTTGCTTCGTGAGCCTATACTTCGTGAACTCCCTGGGCTGAGAAGAAAGCTTAGAATTCGATTTAGGAAATTGAACAATTAGGGATTGTGGTTTTGTGGACTATAGATTTTGAAAGTATAATTATCTTGGTGGTATTGAGTAATGCAGTCCTCCTCCATAGAATTATGAAGTAATTTTAAATTTAAACTTGTCAAGTTTTGGTCAATTTTGTCTCGAAGTTGTCATGTTCCTTTTTAATTTGGTCATTGGATGTCAAACAATTTGTATGCTAAGGAGACAAGTCATGAGTAGAGAACTTGTTATGTATCCTCTTTTTGAAGGGTTAAGGCAATGTTTTTCATTTACTGGGTTGTTATGCTATTCCATATCAACTTATATTGCTTTTGTTGAATTTGAAAGGGGAATACTTAATATGCTACCATGAAAAGATTCCCACCACTTCAAAGAGTTGATGGAAGAAATTGTTTATTTATTAATTAATTATCAACTCATTCTCAGAGTGTTTTTAGGCTCCTCCAAAGGAGGATGATGTGGGTTAGAATCCCTGACCATAATACATACATGGGGAGAGGGGCATAGGCCCGACCTCCAACAAAGCAGCAAAAATACATAAGAATTAGGGCAAGAAAATATCAATTATTTATTCATTCAAAAGTTGTCCTTATTACAATGTAAAAGATTCGTTTATATAGGTTTTAAAGATTCTATTCTAAGAAAGAAATATCTAATGAAAGCTAGTAAATCAGCCATAATAAAGTTTCGTAAAATATATTTTAAAACTAATAACTAAATATAATAAAATCTCTTTTAATGTTGCATCACTTATGAAACAACATATTAGCTTAAAAGATCACCAAACAATCAGCATAGCACAAGAAAACAAAGGATTGGTAGCTAAATTTACTGTCATAAGGCACCTACTAAAAGTCTAAAACCCATTGAAAAGTATTAAATATTTCATGTCCTACAATATGATTCTTTATGTAGGCAACTAATCACGAAACATTTGAAACCTAAATTGCACTACTATTTTCTAGTAAATAGTTCCAACGTTTTTATGTTTTTTTAACTGATGTAAACCACTGGAACGAAGTAAGAACTACTACTGCTTCCAATAGGATTCTAGTATTTTCTGCTATTCTAAGGTTGGTTGAAAGTGATTATAGAGTTTAGATGGGTATTGAAAGGTTACGGCGTGTATGGGTTGGATGGAAAAGGTGAGGTTGGGTGTTTGGATTTGAGAAGGCATAGGTCAAATGAGAACGAATTTCTCTAATACGAAATTGACGCAGGAGCATATAATTTGTTAATAAATAAGAGAAATAACAAAAAGAAAGGTGGGCCAGAGAAGAGAATTTTGAGGACAAGAAAATCAATCTTTATTAATTACAATGAATAAGCCCCTCTATTTATGGAGTAAATAACCTAAGAAGAAGTTAAGAAGAAAACAAACTTCTAATAAACTATAATTATATCAAAATAAATATAATCTAATCTAATTGAAATTAAACTCTATTTTAAACTTCTATTTAACCTATAACTCCTTCTTTATTCCTATCTTGATTTCCATCAATATGGTACCTAAAAATACAATGAACAAACGTTCAGCTTATTTTTCTTTCTTAGCCTTTTCCAATATTTTATGCTCAATCTTATCAAACATGCCACTAAAGTTCACCAATGTCACAACCGAAATCTTGAATAAATTTTAAAAGGCCTTCGGATAAGGAAGTGAATAGCAACACTATCAACAAAACCAACTCCCGGGCAGAGAGTGTACTGCAACTCTGTGATCATTCACACCATTGTAGCGATAAATTTAACACAATGAGTTTGACACGAACAATCAGATTCAACAAAAACATTATCCACACAATAAGATGAAACTAAACGGGAAAAAAAGGATTATTCTAGAAAAGTAGCAAATAAACTATATGCAAGTGTGCACACAAAATCAGTAATTAAGTTATTGTGTGCGAGCTCATGCGTGTACATTTAAATAAGGCAAAGGATGTACTTAATTTTCTTTTAAAGGAGAAAAAACGAAATTAAAAAATAAAGCTGACCTGCTGCATTGCTAGCAAAACCTTTGCTCAAGGCCTGCAACAATGACCTTTGGGGACTTGGAGTGCGTACCACACATTTTGTGCCTTGAATAGTTAGCCTTAGCACCACTCAGATCTGCCTCACACCCTTCCACTTGGCACCTTGGTGGCTGGCCACTTTGCACCATGCTTCTTCTCCTCTTCTTGGCAGGTGATGGGGGAGGTAGTCCGGTGGCCTTGGGCGGCAGTGAAGGCGGCCCACCACCAAATTTGTCCTGCACTCCAACCCCTACATCTTCAAAGTAGATTTTCTTGCCAAACTTGAAGCCATTGAGTGATTCTGACCCACCAGAAGTAGATGAAGAAGAAGAAGAAGCAGAGGCTGAACCAAGTTCCATTCTTGTTGTCTGTAACCCGTTCATCAGTGCCTACTGAGATAGTCTAATGAATACCACGTTTCATAAAGTGTATCTTGATGAAACCGTCGTATTTCTTTTTGCATTTCTTTTCATGTTTTGATAAGTGATGGTGACTGGGTCTTGTTCAGTCATAAATACACTGCATTTACATATGGCAGTGTGCTCGTTACACCTCGTCTATAGAAGTAGTTGAGGAAAGGAGAAAGATTAAGTGGGGTGTCCTCAATATAGAGTTTCATGGATTTTAAAAATCCATATAAATTGAAGTTTCCTCAATTTAGAGTAAAATATTATTCATTAAAATGTGGGTGTCCTCAATCTAGATATTTAGAAATACTTATAAATTTAGGTATCCTCGATTACTAGTTGATTTAAAAGGATTTCGTTAATTAGATAGAATATGATGGATTTTGAAAGATTTCAAGCCATAAATATAAATACAAAAATTGTGGAACAGTTTTATCCCAATCGAGGACATACAATTCATTACCTCTGTTTTTGAATCAGAATTGTGCAAACTGACATAACTTTTGAATTTCAGAAGTTTTGAGTGTTTACAGTTTGAAATGTGAGCTGATTAATTTACATTTTGTGCTTCCTAATATTAGATGTGTTTTACTTACTACAGTTTTGTTGTCAATTGCTATTGTCTTAGTCAGAGTAGGTGTTTTGGATTAGCATACTTGCACGTTGTTGTCTTCAATTGATATTGTCTTCAATTGTTATTGTCTAAGTCAGAGCTGGTGTTTTGTAGTCTGGATATGGCCATTGAGGTGTACTTATCATATTTGCACGTCGAGAACTGTATCATGCACTGCTTCGAAAATGTATACAATGTTTTACACTATCACGCTCCATGCACTGACATGAAGTGTTAAATGACTTACCACCGAAGTGTCGTTCCCGACAGTTCGCAACAGAAATTCTCGACAGATGGAACAGTTGACAAATGAACTGTCGTTCCCGACAGTTAGGCTCAGTAATTCTCGACAGATGAGCCTCTCCACCGATGAACTGTCGGGAACGAGAGTTCATTTCTTCCGTAGTTATGCAAGTTGAATTTAGGTTCCGACAGTGCACGTAAGTTTCGCATTAAAAATACTGTTATGCTATGATGTCACGATTTTGTTCATTGATCCGCTGTTGCAACATCGTACGTGTGTTTCGCATTACTATTACTCAAACGTATGATCTCACGATTTGTATAGTGGTGCCAACATTGCATGTGTGCTTTTGCATTAACATAATTGCAATACTATGATCCGGACATTTGTTGATTGATTAGTCAATGCACCTTGTTCGTTGAAATGTGGTTCTATTATTTCCGTGTCGTGTGTCTTCAAATACTACCATCTGACGTATTAAATTTATGTTCAACTGCAGGAGGGTGCATGGATTTTGAATATCTGGTTCCAAAGAATGCGCGGCTAAGGGCCTACATCTCACAGCGAAGCAATCTATGGTACGTGAAGACAGTCCTGGAGCATTTCGATGAGCGGCAGAGTACAGACTTCCGTAACTCATGCCTAGGGTTCTTATCCGAGGTTCGAGATCTCCAATTCTCAGCCCAACTAATCCAGCAGCTCGTTTTCCGCTGCATACGAACTGAAAAGGCCAGGGAAATATGGTTTAAAGTGCAAGGCCACTTAGCCAGGTTTGGCCTACAAGAGTATGCTCTCGTCACGGGTTTAATGTGTGGTCCTCTTCCAGATGACGCCGCGATGGACCGAGTTCTACAAAAGAAGAGGTTGAAGGATAAATACTTCAAATCAACAGAGAGGATTTCGTGTGGCGAACTTGAGAAGGCATTTCTCCGGCCGTCGACGCCCCAAGCAGATCGGTACAAGCTCGGGCTTGCTCTAATCATCGAAGGAGTGTTCAATGCTCCGGATAGCCATGCCGGTATTGAACTTCCCACGCTGTCAATCGTGGACGATCTGGACATGTTCTATTCCTACCCGTGGGGTAGAGTATCGTACATTCATCTAATAGGGGGCTTCCGACGCAGACTGGGATGAAAATTTGTAGATGCCACAAATAAGAAGGAGAAGGCGATTACTTATACAGTTCACGGCTTCCCCATTGCCATGCAGGTACTACACACAAATTTTGTACAACGTATTCATTATTTCATCATAAATGTATTGTCATTGGTTCCTTTAATGTTCAACTCACAGTTACAATGTGCTGTAATAGATCTGGGCATTTGAGGTAATACCAGAAATTGGGGATAGGTTTGCTCAGCGATTGGGTCATCAATCCCCACGGCTTTTGAGTTGGACGTGTACCAAACAGCCGCAAAACCGGACGTATGATACATTTTTCAAGAACATTAAGGTATTGGATTGCGTTTCATGTATGCGATCCGCATGTGTCGTTACTCGTTACATTTTTGGTGACATTAATTTATTTTATGTTGCAGCTGCACGTGTCCGCGAAGTTTCCTCCCACCGAAGTCGAGCTTGGACAACCATGTATCTCCACCCTCTTGCCGTTTGAAGACCGTACTGTACCTGTGTTGGACGAGGTTGCAAGGGACATTATCCCTGCACAGCTTCACCCAGATCCTTTGCCTAGTGGGAAGAATGTTGGAAACTCAAGGGGGAGTGCACAATGGTTTCCAGTGGAGAAGGCTCCGAGGACGACGATGAGTCGAGGGACAGTGAGGACGAGGGAGCCCGTGAGGAGACCGGAGGTGATAAGAGTGGAGACAGCAATGGAGAGGCCTCGGACGAGGGGGACAGTGAGGATGACCACACTCGTACACCGCAGACTGGGACATATTTCTCTCCCCCCATGTACAGACGTACTTCTCCCATTCATGCACCCTCCACATCTCATGTACGACAAGGTCAAATCTCTGGTGTGAGCCTCACGAGAGACGAGGTGGAGGAACTATTGCTCGATCAAAGAACGATCATCGAAATTCGCCTGCGTACAGTGAAGCTTGAGATCATGCAGCACGTCACCGATGAATTTGTGAAGGTCAGGGACTTCATTTCTACCCTCGTCCCCCCAGCTCCCTCTAGAAGTACTCCACCCACGGCTCAGGCGGCAAACGAGCCTACAGTTTTAGCTACTTCAGTGTATGGTATGTGTACTGCATTTAAATTGTTATCTACTATATGTTACTTATGTTTGCTGACATTGAGTACACATGGGATTTGTGACTTAGACGGAAATGGAGGCGACACCGACCCTATCCCGGAATGTGAGGAACCGCAAGGTATGTGCATCAATTACTATGGATACATTTTCATGTCTTCTTTACTATTTGATACTAGCAAATACGTAACCCCCTTACGTTTTTGCAATTGTTGTTTTTGTAGTGCATGGAAGAGGCTTCTCCCCGTTGCCGATCGATCATGACGAAGATGTGGACAAGGAAATGCAAGAGCGGAACGGTACGTGTCTTAAGTAACGCATAATATTTGATTTCGTTCATAGGTCTCACCTCATTCGGAAGTGTGTATAGTGTAAACCCTGAACAACACGCGATTTCTAATATTGGGTATATTGGTACTCATGCGTAGGTGGAGCCGGCATGGAATCCGAACCAGCATTAAACGACGGCGACGGCGACGTAGCTGCCGGTGGTTCGGGGAAACGTGAGGACGACGGTGTTGCGTCCCCTAGTGGCGTAGCGGAGGCGGACGGTACATACACTGCGGTGAATTACTTCTATTTCACTACTTAGAGTAACACGTAATATTTGGATCATTTACTTACGTATGACCTCATGCACTAGTATGTATTCTCGACTGTTTGAAGTATACAGTGTTACTAATATTTCGTCGCATGTTAATTTCATACTAGGTGGACGCAGCATGGATTCCGAACCAGAAAAGAACAGTCAGGATAACGAAGTGTCTTTCGGTGGTTCGGGAAACCTCTTGGACAAAGGTGTTGCGTCCGCTAGTGGCGTAGCGGAGGTGGATGGTAAGTACATTGCCGTGGAGAACTCATCATGTCACCCTAACCTAAATTCGTGATGCAAATGGATGAAGTGCTAATTAAAGTGGAATTATTTTGTAGGCGGTGCGACAAACATGCCGGGGGAGGCCAGCATACCTGTGCAATGCAATGACCCACCCACCACAAAGAGGCGACGATCGACACGCATCCGACGTCCTGCTATATCTACAAAGACTCCGTACAGCAGGAAGAGGGCGAAGAGAGTGAAGAAATGAGGTATTTTTGGCGTAATTTGACATGATTTCAAGTTTGTGTGGAGTTCGTCTTTGCGTAGTCGTACGTCTATGTTAATCTAAAGGAGTATGTCCAATAGTATACGAATATTCTCCGTACTGTTCATATCACATGCAATTGAAACATAATATTGTCGGATTTTGTCACGTTCAGTCGAATATCTGTAAAGGAGCATTTCAAAGGGGTTTGGGTCCATTTTTGCAATTAAATGGGTTGGGTTCGATTATATTTACCCCATTTTCTGTCCGGTTAGGTTGGGTTATGGGTTATCCCTTTAACCCAACCCGAAGTCGACCAATCCAACCCGTATACAAAAGTTAATTTTAAAAATGTGTAGAAATTATAAAACGAGTATAAGGTCCCTCCCTTTTCCCTGACCCTTCCTATTCCCGTTTTCCATTTTCCCCTCAGAGAAAACATAGTCTCCTCCAATCCATCACGAAGCCGGTAGTCGCCCTTTATATTGTTGATTCTAACCCTGAGTATTTATCACTCTTTCGGTGTTTTGATATTTGATATTGTGGGGAGAAAATGGTGAAAATCTCAGCTTTGTGCAAATGAAGGTGAGAAATTTTATTCTGCCTCTGTCGCTGCCGGTATCCATCTTCAATCCCCTACCGTCCTATGCTACCATGCAGGTGAGTATTTTTTTTAACCTAGATTCACTTCCTTTATCCTTAATATCTGATATAGTTGAAATTTTTTAATAATTGATTATGCTTAGTTTCTTTAGTATGTTTGGGCTTTTATTGGTAATCGTAGTTCCATTTCAATTGTATGGTTCTTGGAAGACAATTTTCTAAGTATTCGTATTTGTATATGAAATTCACTGGATTGGATATTGTGCTGTTGATTGCTTGTGAATTGGGTTGGATGACCGAATGAGATGAGTTTTGTGGGTTAATGTTGGATTGAAGTGACAATAAGTTGACTGGGAATGTATCTATATATTTCACGAGGCTTGTCAAATTTAGCACTCCAATTTTGAGTAACAAAGGTTATAAGTTTAAATTTTAGCTTCCACTCTTTGCATTGGATTATGGATTTCATTATACTTCAGCATTGCAGTCTCGTGGAGTAATTTATAGTTTGCTGATGTTTTTTCTTCTTTATGTATGTAAGAGCACCATTGTGTCGTTATTTGTTTAGTTGAGTGTTATTGTAGGAAGTGCTGTATATTTGCGTTTACCAAATTATCTTCCATGATAACTTTGATCTCATTATATCATTTTTGGTTATTGAAGTGTAGATGACAGTGGATGAAGATGCCTCAACCCCCTCCACGATCACTGCATCGCAACTTCGAGTTCACGTACGGTGCTTGAAAGGGGTGAACGTTGTATGAACAAATTTTATGTTATTGGTTGCGATGATTTTGTATAAACAGGTCCAAATTGACTTACACTTTTGCTTGCCTAGCTCGTTCATGTAATTGTTGTTGGTTGCAATGAATGTTATATAAACCCGGTATGCAGGCGCAAATGGATGATCCTAGATTTTTGTACATTATGTTTGAATGTGTTATATCAGAAGTACTTGTACAAAGTTGCCATTTGTTGCTCTTTATGCATGCACGTGTGGCTATAAATTATGTATTTCGGAATTTTCACTAACTCGAGAGTGTGCAGTGTAGTTCGATTCGTCATCTAAAAGACAGCAATTTCAGAATCTCGTGAATACATTACGATTCTCGTTTTTGAACTGAGTAAAAAATAAGTACCAGCATAGCAAAATTCAGAAGGGTCGAGAGAGACTCCCCACACGAAGAAAAGAAAGGAGCAAGCTACTGAGAGGGAACGAGTGGGGAGCGAAGCCGTTCGACTGTAAGGAGAGGAGATGGAAGGGGAGAGAAAGAGTGAAGAGTCCCTCCCTTCATTAAGGGAATGGGGAGAATTTAAGTTGTCTTTCATGTAATGTTATAACACATGCAGCAATATGGAAAAAATCTTGCACATAGCTGTTACGTTGAAAAGTTTTTTCTCAATTTCTGGAAGGAGCACCACATTCAAAAACTGAAAATGGAATTGAAAACCGTGCTTAGCTCATTTTTAGTCATTTCCAAAATAATTCAATAGTCATAACTCACATTGGTACTAATCTTCCAACCCCAGCCACCATTTCAGGACATATACTAGGGATTTAAGTATGATTAGACCATCATCCATCACATAATTTTCTATCAAATTTTAATTGTATGGGGGTTGGTGGTTGGGGCACTAAATGAGCTTCAGTGCATCTCTCCAAAAAATCTACTATATATAGCATGGTAAGTCCACATTATCATTGACACCTTCAATATTCACATTTGAAAATTCATGTTGCAGTCTCTACGTTTACTCCTCAACAGGTTCAATAAATATTTTCATATCAGAACAATGGCGTCGTCGACAGGGAGCAATGAATCATTCAAGCATGAGGAGCCGCTACGAACACCCGGTTCGTCCCCACTATATCCCATCGTCATTGCTTCGGACGATGACGAAGTGAGTTATGAACGTGGTACGAGAGCCACATCCGTTGTTCCTTTTCCGAACCTCGACGATGTTGCAAGTGAAGCTTCCCAGAGTCCAAAGACTGTGCTTGATTGGGTCGTCCCATTGATGGTTCCGGTGGAAGTTGAGTCTGACGATGACGCGTGGTTGGCTCATGTTCCATCTCCCGAGATCATTGTGATCAGCTCCGATGACTCCGAACAAGATGGTTTGAGCGTGGACAATCAATGAGGTGGAGAATATGGGTATGTGGAGCATATGAAATAATGTATAGTTCGTATTTTGTCAAGGATGGATCTGGTAACATAGTTCGGCAATAGTGAGCAAGAGCACCTCCATTGTCTACGTACTATTTTCTTTATATTTTGGTAGATTTTGGTATTGGACCTACTATGGACGAGGACAGAAACAATCTGTCGGGAACGACATGTCTACTGTCGGGAACGACAGATTAACTGTCGGGATGTAAGAGCATAGGTTCATTTGTGTAAGTATGAAACTTGTGTTTCCCTGTATGGATCCCTTGTTTACTAAAAATTGACGTACCCTGGAATGAACAAGTTCACTGTATTGACAATGTAGGTTCATCGGGATTTCTTGGTTCGGGCTTAACACATGAACTTGGAAGCATCGAAAAATAAGTTATTTTTAAAATTCCTTGTAGGTGGAGTTAGGTGTCTATACGTACGTGGTGTCTTATGAATAAGTTCGTATGGAAAAAGTACTAATCAGGTCAGCCCTAAATCGTCCTTGAAATATACCGTTTTTGTTTGTTGCTAAATTAGAAAACGATGTCTGCTGTTAAGAAACGATAATGGAATGTAAAAGAAATGTTATGATTCAAAATATCTGTGTAAGTAGAGACTTGAATGGGTAACAGTGTAGTCATGCAGGCATAAATATTTCGAACAAGTCAGATTATATACTCTGTAACCATCTGTCGGGACTGATAGTTTAACTATCGAGATGTTCTGAAGGGATATCAATTACAATATCTTCTACCTAGTTGCAATCATGAGAAACACTAATGTCAGCAAACAAACGACAATGATAAAAAAATGAGAACATTTACATTCTTTCATTACAAACGACATGGGGGTGCTAATTCACATACAACTTCAACCACTTTCGAATAAAAACCTATTTATTACAAACGCCTATTTAAACGGTCGGTGGTATAATGGGGTTGAAACATGTGCTCCGATTATGACCTAGTCCACCACAGCGAGTGCATTTCCTCAGTCGTGTGGCGGACTCGAATCTGGATCGCTGACGTCTTGTGGGTGGTCTACCTAGAGGACGACTTACATTGGGTGGCCTAATAGGAGTACCTGTAATTTCGTTTGGCACTATCCAGTCCACTTCACGCATAACAAGATATATAGCTTCGCTATAGGCACCTCTCCAGTGTTTCGATGTGTAATACGGTGAGCATAAGTCGTACAATGACATACCTCGCAACCAGGCAGCTCAAGTGGCATGAACGTATGGCATACGATTAATTTGAAACTCACGACAAGTGCAGCTGTTATCAGAGAAGTCGACGATGTCCGTGTCGTTGGACATTCCAACTTGTGTTAACTGTTCTGTCAAGCTATGAGCTCGAAGCCTTGTACCTACTTCAAATGTTGTCCGCAACTCATTCTCTATCCTCAACGATAGCATGCCAGTACATGTGATTGCACTGGTTCGACGTTCGTGAAACCACTTCTGCATAGTTTGTCGAATGTCTTCGACCAAGCACGTGATCGGTAATGAACGGGCATGTCTCAACATTGAGTTCAAAGATTCGGCATTGTTATTTGTCAAAATGTTGTACCTTTGACCAACAAACAGTGCTCGTGACCAAAACGAGAAACCTGCTTGCTCTAAGTACCCGTATGCTCTTGCACTTACCCTACGGATCTTTCCATAAGTCTTTCAAACTCTTCGACCCGAGAAGTTCGTGCAGCTCGTTTGAATATAAATATTACACTTGCGTTGTTGTACCGCTGGACTAAGTTCTTTTCTAGATGCCAGATACAGTACCCATGACGGGACTGAGGAAATAGACGAGCAATGGCATTGGAAATGCTATTCTTCCGGTCGGAAACAAAAACCAATTCAGCAGAGTCGCCTATAAGCTCTTTCAAGTTGGACATAAACCACATCCACGATCTATTTGTTTCAGCATCAACGATCCCCCATGCCAAGGGATATATCTGTTTGTTGGCATCTTGGGCGGTTACCAGCAAAAGTGTACCTTTGTATGGACCTTTCAAGTGACTACCGTCAACACAAATAACGGGCCTCAAGTAGCGCATGTAGCCACGAACGCTTGCACCGAAAGCTAGGAAGAAGTAATGAAACCTGTTATGGGATCAACTTCGATGTGGGTTACTGTCCCCGGGTTATGCTCTCCTAGAACATGACAATAGGAAGGTAATTTTTGAAAACTATCCCCCGGTGTACCATGTAGCATATGTAAAGCAGCAACTTTCGCCCTATGTGCTTTTTGGTAACTTATTTTGACACCAAACTCGCGTTCTATGTCACGTGCAATAGCGGTAGGATCGTACAACCGGTATGGATTATCCAATTTTCTCAAAATGTGCTCGGCAATTACAGAAGTAGTGGCATGTCGATGTGCGTTACGACGGATATCTACCGAACATGTGTGCACATGGTTGAATTTTCGAATCATGAATATAGAAGTCTGTTTCACACTCGAAGTATGTAACATCCACTTGCAATTACGGTCCACGCATGCAACCATTAACATTTTGCGGCTTGACCTGCTTACATGAAATTCAAACTTGTCTTGCAAAGTAAGTACACGAATTTTCGAGTACAGCTCTTTCTTGCTCAAGAATATTTGCCGTTCAACAAGATCGGATGTATCCACAGCTGTAATCCATTGGTCTGTACCCGAACGAATAAGTTGTGATGACATTCGAGCGTCAACGTCTGCAATACTAGCAGCATCTGTACCATTGAATGGGTCGTCCAACATATCGTCTACAGGTGCAGCCCCATCATCAAAATTCCCCATTTCGACTGCATTATTCACTGGGGAAGTAGGCTCATGATTCATGTCATCGTGTTCTAAGTTCTTGTGAACATTCGTGGCGGCAAACAAATGGTCACGCAAATTCGTATCCCTCCCCATGTCAACATTTCGCATATTTGTCTCCACAATATTAACGCACAGAGCAGTTTCTGTATGAACAAATATGTACCACATGAGGTCTTCATCTTCATGTATTTCAGCTGGCGGTATATTCATGTTTGGGACTTTAAACTTCAATTCCATTTCGGTGTGCAGATCGATAATGCCAAGTTTCTCATTCAACCGTAACAGAAGTCCGGCTAGGGTAATATTTCTTGGCACTAAAATGGATGTGGTTTTGTCCCCTGTCCACTTCCATTCGTCATATGCGTGAATAAACCTTCCCTCGTGCGACACGATGAATCTCAAATGGGTGTTCATACCTAAAATAAAGGGATTACAACGATAAGAATTATGAACAGTCAATATGTCGATATGTAATAGCATCGAAGGGGCACTTTCGAATATTTAAACCGATGCAATAAAAGAATGTGAAATGCAGGGTGTCAACAGTTTTCAACTGTCGACTTTGACAGTTTAAAACTCTATCCCGACAGTTTATCTGTCGATCTCGACAGTTTATAAATGTCAAGATCGACATTTATAACCGTCGAGATCGACAGATAAACTGTCGAGACAGTCGACAAGTTTAACGCCAGTTTGTTTGTTACTTTTTCCGAAATATTAATGGTATAATTAATTCTCAACTACAACAATTATTTCATTGCTCTACAGATCTCCATAAACAAATGAATGCTTCATTAAATATGGAATAGTTGACATTTCCCTAAATATTTTTGGTATATTTTCCCTTTAAAATGATTTGAAAAAGAAAAAAACAATAAAAGAAAAAACAATACCATCATCATTAATAGTGTTTTTAAATGTTTTCTTCACTTTGATGATCATGTTGCTTTTAATATGTGAAAAATAATAAGTTATTACATAAAAATATAAGTAATTTGTAATAACTAACCTCTCCAAATGAATGATGAATTGAATAGCAATATATTGTTGATGAAGGAATAAAGAAGATGAAAGAAAATGGAGGGTTTTTTCAAGAAGGGATGTATTTGATGTGAACTATGATTGTTTTGCTTCTTTTATCTTATTTTTGCTTCTTTTAAATTTTTTTTTACGTCTTTTCTCTTTTTTTTTTAGTCAATTCATATTATACAATATAATATACATTTACCAAATCATTATAATATACATATTAAATAATGAAATCATTACAATTGATTGGATTGGAGGCTACCATTAATGAGCATTTAATGCTCCTAAAAAGGGGAGATTAAGGGTAATTTGGACATTTTCTACCAAAAAAGTGACATTTTTGATAAAATTTAGTGCACATCAAAAGTTTTATAGCAATTTTCAAAAAAGTGTCATTTTTGATAATTCCCCTAAAATATTTACTAGTTTGTTAACTTATTTGTGGGCTTTATTATTAAAGGTTGAACCCCAACCTTAAGGGTCCCCCACTGCCACGTCCCTGGAGCATTGTGAGAGAGGTTAATCGTGGGATGTGCCCCAATAGGTTAGGGAACAAGAGCTGCCTGTACACTGATGCTCACAAAAAGTCTCAATCCATATTTCAGGAATCGAACCTTCACACTGCGGCCGCCAGCAAGGCTGAATATACCCCATCCTTATCCTTTGCATCATTACCTTCAAAGACATTAATGTTATTGTTTTATGGCTGTCATCATTTGTCCTTGATGGCTTCACCCCTCATTTTATAGCAATAAATTTAGGGTTGTGTTTGACGTTCACAATTTTGGTATATAGGGGTATCCACATCTCTCACATGGGGTGGAACCCACGCGAGACGGGCCCCACCCCATGTGAGGAATATGGACACCCCTATGTACATATTTTATGTACACTAAGTCTTATCCATAAATTTAGGATTCGAATGACTGGTCCGAAAATGGATTACTAGTTCCGTTGATCTCGAAATTCGGTGAGATATGTGGCCAATCGGTCAATATGTATATTATCTGCACACATGAATAAAGCATTAGATGCAAAGATTCAATTACTTCTTCGGATTGATTTACGTATCAAAGTATCAACAATTAGCATATAAAGGTTCTTTATTTTCTTTTCAAGTATGGATATAATTTGTAGTCATTTGATATGAATGGTCCTGAAGAACAAAATTACTCAACCGCCAGTACCCAAACTATTATTACTATTGGCCATTTAACCGTTCATCTTCAAACACAACAAAATGTTGGATTGTCTATCCCATGCTCTATATTTTCTAAGGAATCAATATGGTGCATAACCCTATATTATATTCATTCGAAAATAGAGTACAATACTATACACAGAACCGTTTTGAATTTCAATGTTATACAACGAATTTCTCCCTCCCTACTCATACTTGATTTACATAAAAAATTGATGTATGTACACACATAATTCTTTGTGGACATGATCACAAGGGGCTTAGAGAATCTAATCATGTTAGGGTAGGGAAATTAGTTAAAAACATGACAACTAAAAGCTTCTCTCTCTCTCTCTCTATGTGTATGTATATCTTTCTATGAATAGTGTTCTTACTTGTTACCCACAAGGAGTCCATCTGGCTATTTAATCTTTTATGAATTTAAAATAATTTTATTTTGACATGTTTTGTGGTATGGGATGATACCTTAATAATGCAAAGACAATGTCAAAAGTTGGAGGCCATGTGAAACTGCATCCTCCCTTGGAAATCAAATGAATTTGCATCCATTCTTGCAAGGGAAGAGGACCTATCCCTTAGTCACCAAATAAAAAATAATGATAACTGATGATATCGATATTCATTTTATTAACATTGTCAATCGTTATCATGATATGAAAAGTGAAATGACTAACTATGATGAATAAATTGATTATGAATATATTACTAAATAAGGATCGATTTTAGATTATCCTTCAACTTGAATTACCAGAAGCAATATCTCTATGGATTCATAAAATTCACCATCTAAATGTGAACGGATCAAATTAATTATCCCTTGATATAAAGTTAGAATAACTAACTGTTGGGAAAAAACTGAGTTATGGGCCAACTTTGGCACGAGTTTTGAGTGGGACCCCGTTGTTTTGGAAGATGAAAGTTGATTTGTGTTCCCCTCCCTGAGTACATCGAAATCATATACTTACTTGCCAAAGATGATGCTCGGGTGAATGAGAAATCGAGGCTCAAAGTGTGCCACTCAAAAGAGAGTTTATGTGAATTTGTCCCTCATAGGAAAAAGATGAGAAACTCCAAAGGTCATTGCCATAAATGTATCCTAGCCTATAAATAGTGGCTCATTTTCCTCATTTCAATACACCAAAGCAAAAACTTTCAAGTTTAGAATATACAAGAAATTCATTTGCATAGAGTTCTGTCTTTTCTGCATTTCTATCTTGGTGGTGGTGTAGTTCAGGCACTAGTTCAGTTCGTCGGAGTGGTTTCTGCAGTGCTCGAAAGCTACTGGTTTTACCGTTGTATCCTGGAAAATGGATGCTCATTTTAAACCTCAAGCACGGATGGTGAGGGGGCGAATCTGTTTTAAGGAAACTGTGTGTAACACAGGCCTCGGTTTGAAATTTCATTTCCTGCAATTTCAGTTATTCGTTCTGTTATTTATTGCAGTAAATTCAATAGTTGATTTGTTATTCATTCTGTTATTATCCAATTAGATGTACACTGTAACTTGCTATTAGATATCATCTTACCGTGCAAAAGGCATTTACGGTATTGAAATCGAGAATACCGAATTCCTCATTTTTCATAAACTTACCGAATTTCAGAAAAGTTCGGTCGACCGAACTGGTGAAACTTGGAATTTTCCCTATAAGCTTAAAACAGATTCTCAGAAAGGAAAAATTGGTTTCCTATATTGAACCGATTAGTTTCTTATATTTGTTATATTGTGGAAACTAATTTGTTGTTTGGTTCTTTCAGAAGACGAAATGGCAACCGGTCCTACCAACATGGATTCCAACATGGATGTGTCCTAAGCTGTAGGTGCCCAAACTCAGGCTGTGGGTTCTACTATGGGTGCAGGGCCTAGTTCGGCTATGGGTGCAGCTATGGCTGCAGGGCCTAGCTCTGTTATGACTCAAACTGTGGCTCAAGTGCCAAGTCGTGTTGTGAGCCAACATGTGGCTAATGTTCCGGTTAATGTACAGGTTAACCATGGGGAAAAGTCGGAGAAATTCAACGGC